ATATGAATGTGGTCATCTAACATGGAAGTTGACATGCCAAATTGATCTCAGTACAGCTCATGTAGATTTAAATATTCAATTACATTTGCTCACTAAACAAATTAGATTTTATCATTGTGTTAGTTAATTACTATTTTGCAATACAAATATTTAAACTTTTAAACTCGACTAGCCTCATGGATGCACGCAAATCATCTCGTTTACACGCATCTAGAAGCTCTAATCATGGTGCGAGGGTGACCACTAAAGATATCATGATCGGAAGTAGGGGTAATCGGTTCCAGGGTGGGTAGGTTCTAGCCTTAGAACCTATTCCTGTTAAAATCGGTTCCTAATTATTGGAATCTGAAACTTATCATGCTTACCCTGAAACCATCCCTATTTTCTCGGTCCAGTTCCAACATCTACTCGGGAACTGGTTTCTTTTTCTATTCATTTCGAGACAAATGATAGTTATAGTAAAATAGTATAAGCAACATAACGGTTCAAAATAAAACATCGCTACAAAAGAAACCGAAATATAAAGTAATAGAAAAGTTAGGTACATTCAAGAAAGAGAAATCATCTTCTTCCAACTTCCCAACTTCAAAAAATAAGTTCTAATCGCCAGTTCTCCGGTGGGTGGGTTTAGCATCCAGAACTTAATTGAAACTTGCCCTCAAAAGTATTCCAAATTTTTGGAACTGGGAATCGGACCTATTTTCATAGCCGGTTCGGTCCGGTTTCCGGATAGAACTGGACCGATTGCATAGCCCTAATAAAAAGACACTGTAATTTAGATCATAGCTAAACCCTAACTTCACTCATCTGAGGTCATCTGCCCTCGTTCGCCGGCTGCATTACTTGGATCCCTCCGAAGGAGGACACCATTAACAATCCTTGGCATTACCTAAGGTAGAAGAATGACATCGAACCCAACAAAACAAGATGATGTTTTTGTGTGGGTCATCTAATGGCCGTCTCCCACTTATGCCCATCTTCTTGGACTTTTTTGTGGGATGTTATCATGAACCCCTAAATTATTAGGTCTTGGACCTTCTGACCCGGAATTTATATGGTCGTGAAGACGATTGGAACTGAATTTGGGATAATGTAGAGTGACCTTAGCTTAATATAATACAATATCATGAACAAGCATGTCAACCTAAGTGGTTCACTATTCTCTATCTAGACCCTTCTTTACTAGGGCTGTCTCCATCATTTCCCCATAAGGACTAATCAAATTTGTGGTCACCAGAGCTCTTGTGACAGATAATCTAATCCCAATCATGCGTATACGTATGTATGCATTAATGTCATCTTGAGCTTATCTTGTAGTGCTGTAAGACCTTATGATGTTGCATTATTTAATTCCTAGGTCAAACTCACAGCTAAGCTAGCCATTATGGGAAATGGTGGGTGAACACTTCGATTGATCTCGACCCTTCATCGAATTCTCTGAGTTGGCATGCACACTTCCTATTGCCGTGCGAATTACTTTTCGTATCCTTAGTCTTGCACCCCACTCGATAGGTTGATTCATGAGGATGAAGGTGAATTGTCAAAAAAGGAACAGACAAGTTGACAATTGGGATCGATCCGAGGCAATTGGTTGAGTGCTCTCATGGTCCTTTATATTTTATAATTTGAAATTAGGTATCCTTAGTATTTCAAGAAGGGTCATATCAACAACTCCGGATACTAGTTAAGTCAAACTAAAATTGGAAATAGTAATGTAATGATTGCACGTTTTAACAAGATCACTTACTTTGAATAGTAGAATTTTGAAATTACAAGATCCGTCTAACGAGGTTTAACGAGTGTCTAAGGATACCTTCTAAAAATTTCCTTTGAAAAATCGTCGGTTACGTTTCAAATTATCGTACCGTAAAAACTGTATAAGATTTAAGTACGGCCACCGATCTAAATGACCGAAAATCATCTTGATAGTACATGCAATGTTGACTAGAAGTAGCGAAATGTGTTGGACCAATGATACTATAGGTTCTATCAATATATGTATATAGAAGACATGATCGTATGAAAATCGAATCTTTATACTGTAGCAGTGATGAGTTTTGCTAAGATGCGTGCAGTTTCCAAAGATGATCGGGTTCTACATCTCATAGACAGAAAAGGTTTATTATCTCGTGCTATGACTTGACCAGAAGTTACACAAAATTCCATTAACAAATAGTCATACAATCACAAATAATTAATACTATTCTTATACTTATCTAGTAAATCAGTGGGGCGGCGTGTACCCCCGCCATGGCCCGCCCCGTACCCACAATTCCTTGTCCCGTCCACACCTCGTGTAGCAACGCGGGGCCCTGCAAAAAAAGAAGATATATAAGAATGAAATTTATGTGTTTATATCATTCTTACTTTCGAATAAGTCATTCAATAATAAGCTATTTTTTTATATATATATATTTTAGTAATATAAAGGAAGTAAGATATAAGTAGAAATTGAATAATAGAAACACAAATGTATGAAAAATAAAACATTAACCTACTACCATTATATGTAATTAATGAAACTAAGTACTTGAAAGAGGCGGGAAGGAGCGTGGTTTGGGTAGATCTCATTATGGCCCCCGTGCCTCGCACAGGGGCCATAATTGATTGCACATCCCCACCTTGCACCACTAATTGTCGGGCTCGGTTGCCCCAACTGAGGCAAGGCGACGCGGCTGCTCGGGAGGATCGACAAAACCGTCGTTCCTAATTGTCCCTAAGGATAGTCCCGAGCGAGCCTAGGGTAAAAAAAAAAAAGAGAGATTACGGGACAAATGATTGGCTTTGGCCGATGTAAATTATGAAGGAGAGGAAGGTAAAATAAGGAAAAATGTTGCCTTCTCTTGTTCGGAAAGTAGGGGGAATGAAAAAGTGGAGGAAGATGAGGAGAAAATACAAGCGCCGGGCCCCGTAATTACTTACTCCGTTAGTCAATCCTATGTGGAGAGATCTTGAGAAGAAAGCGAATAAAGTTCCTAATTTGCCTATAAAATGCCTCACTTTCTTCAATTTTGGAGGGTTCGATGGTCACTTTGCTCATGCAGGCTTTGCTTACCTTGCACGTTCTATTCTTTCCAAGCAATTTTCTCTTCCTCGAATTACATTATTGATCACGACCCGTTTAGCACGATAAGAACACGACACGAGACAACGCACATTACAGAGAGACTCGCGTATCAACCAAAATTAATATGCTTTCATCCTCATTGAGTTACTTATGATTTTATATATCTGTCATGATATGACAATTATTGCAAATTAGATGATGTTAGAGATTTGATATAGCTTCTTTTCCCATTTTCCCAAGCTTGCAATACTAGAGCTCTTCCCTACCTAGGGCCACTCATGTGTTACCCCGCTTCCTTTTCCTCTCTTCTCATTGTTCTAACTATCTAATTGCACCTAATGTATATTCAAGAAATATTGTTTACTTCAACATAATTTGAAGTTTTTTTTTTGGTATAAATTACGAGACAAAAACATCTATCATTTCATATGCAACTAAGAGATATTGTATAATTTATAAAATATTATATGTCCTACTATGTTCGTGAACTTCTATTTTTATACTAAAGGTGCGTCTGTTTTGTAGCAAATAAATAGTTTAGAAAATATTTTCCTAAAATTATCGCTTGTATCACTTACAAAATTTGAATGGACAAAAAAATATTTTCATTAGATATAAATTGTTGCTGATAATGAAATATTTTTTTATTGATCAAATATTTCAAGTGATCTAAGTGATTATTTTTAAGGAAAACATTTTTCAAATCATTATTTCTGTAAAACAAACAAAATCTAATTAGTTGCTTCCAATTTCAACAATTTAAATCAGGGGCACCTTTTACAACTAATGACATATTAAGAGAGTATTGCACTTACGTTCAAATTTTGCGTACTTCATTTAGTTATATTTTGTACGACAATTCGCGCAATGCGCGAGTTAACATCTAATCAGTACGAATTGACACTAGTTATGAACAATATATGACACATCAATAAGAACTGTCTGCCCAATTTGAGAGGGGGTCACACCTTTGTCACATGAAATTTAGTACACCTTGCTATCTCTGCAAGGAAATTCACCGATCACCAATCGGGTGGTCGGCCGAGCGATCCGAAATTTGATTTGCAAGCCGTAGGTCACCGGTACGATGCCTCGATCTACCATTAACTTCGGGAAACCTCAGTTGGTCTAATGAAGAACATGCACGAGCTAGTCTTGGACTTCCCACCTCCTGTAAATGGTGGACTACGACGACAAGCGCTTGCCAACAGACAATAGATATTTCCGTCGGTGCCTTAAATCGAATATTTCAGCGACGGACGCCAAAATCTCAACCATTTTTCGCCCGAGGAAAAAAGGGGGAAAAGGAAAAAAATACGGGTCACGCGGACTCCAAGGACGACCCCCTTGAAGTGCAGAACAACTCACCACGAAACAGCCTCCTCTTAAATTCCTGGACCGACAACGTTGAAACAGTTCGCCCCATTATTAACGTGACCACACGGGACCAGGTCGTCCCGGTGTGAACGCACGGGACCAGGTCGTCTCGTGTTGGAGGCTAAAGCCTCGTCCCTACCCCCCTTTTTACCTCCCGTTCCGTCCTCAGTCAACAGTTGAACACGAGAACCTCAAAGACGGAATGCACCAATGGCCACGCAGCGCCGCTGGGGCACGTGTCCTCCCGCGAGCGGGAACCCGCCGCACGCGTCGGCCCGCCATTGGGGGACGGGAGGAGCAATCAGTGAGGTGGAGACGGACGTCACGTTTTTTGGGTTGGGGTGGGGTGGGGTGGGGTGGGGTGGGGGGAGGCTGAGGAGAGATGGATGGGATGGGGGGACGAAGTGACCGAGTAAAGAAACGTGGGGTGATCAAAAGGCGTAAATTGGGATTTAACGGCGGGTTTACGAGGGGCGAAGCGGGTGGGGGGAGAGCTTAGAGGTCTGCGTGTATAAATAGCTGCGCCAAGTGGCTTCTTGAAAGCAGAGAGTGTGTGAGGTCTTGGAGAGGAACTCCCACAGGAAAGAGAGGAGAGGAGGCAAAAAAAAAGACAGAGAGAGCGAGAGATACACGGCGCGCGCTTGCCGGTTTGTTCGGTCTTTCGGTCTTTCATCCCCGCTTCTCTCTGACATCCCCGCTTCTCTGAATCCCTTTCTGTGAATCATCTGTCTTTCAACAAAGAACAAGAAAGTTTCTGGTTTTTGGGTTTTTTTTTTTTCTTGACCCGAGAAAAAAAAAAGGACAAAACTTGGAATCTGAGGCAAATTCTCGAGAGCCAGGTGTTTTCAGAATCGAGATCCAGATATTTTCGTAATTTTTTTTCCCTTTTGCTAGATCGGTTGCTTTCATGCTCTTGGTCACCTCTTCTTCTTCTTGTTGCTTTTTCTCTGTGTTTCTTCAGCTGGATCAGCCCAGAGGGTGATTTTTGGTCCCTCGAAGGTTGGTCTTTGAGCTAAGCTTTCTGGAGTGAAGGGGTTGTGTATTAAAGACCTCTTTGGTCCATATCTGTTTGTCAAAATCGCTTCTTTTCCTTTGCTTTTCTGCAAAAAACAAAACTTCAGCCTGTGCTTTGATTTTGGTGAGCAGCAGGTTGCAAAAAAAAAAAAAAAAGACCCTGTTTTTTTTGCCTTCCCTTACCTTCTTGTTAGTCCAGATCTGAATTTAATTTGCAGGTACATGCATTAGACATTTATGGCAGCGATCATGGATTTCTACAATAGCATAACAGCAGCAGCAGCTCTTGAATCAGAGTCATTCGATACTGGTGGCAATGAGCTGATGGAAGCGCTTAGCCCTTTTATCAAGAGTGCTTCCCCATCCAACCCTTCATCGTTTTCTTCTCCTTCCTGCGATTACTTCTCTTTCTCGACGCCATCCTCCTCTTCCCTTTCCCAGCCCATGTCGTACCCGGACCCTTGCTCCACCACCTCCATTACCCAGCTATTTCCTGACGGGTTCTCGGTGCAGCAGTCTGGTCCGACAGGGTTCAACCTCAACTACCCGACCCAAGTACCCCAGATGGGGATGGGTCAGACCATCCAACCTCAAGCCTACCTTCAAGATTATTCTTCTTTTCCGGTTTCTTATTATCAGTGTCAAGAGCAGCAGCAGCAGTATCATCATCACGGCGGCGGTGCCGGGTTTCTCGGGCCGAAGGCCGTGCCGATGAAGCAGGTGGGTCTGGTCCAGAAGCCCGCGAAGCTGTACAGGGGAGTGAGGCAGAGGCACTGGGGCAAGTGGGTCGCCGAGATCCGGCTACCCAAGAATCGCACCCGCCTCTGGCTCGGCACCTTCGACACGGCCGAGGAGGCCGCCCTCGCGTACGACAAGGCGGCCTACAGGCTGAGGGGCGACTTCGCGCGGCTCAACTTCCCGCACCTCAAGCACAAGGGGTCTCACATCGAAGGCGACTTCGGCGACTACAAGCCGCTCCACTCCTCCGTCGACGCCAAGCTCCAAGCCATCTGCCAGAGCCTGGCTGAGAAGCCGGCCGACGGCAAGAAGAGGCGCTCGGGCCCTGCTGGCGGCAGCGCTGCTGCCTTGCCGCAGCGGCCCGAGGAGGTGGAGGTGAAGGCGGAGGTGGGAGCGTCGGCGGCGACGTCCTCGCCGGAGAGCGACGACGCGTCGGTGGAGGAGTCGTCGCCGCTGTCGGAGCTGACGTTCAACGACTTCGTGGAGCCACAGTGGGAGAGCGTTGGGGTGCCAGAGAACTTCTCCTTGCAGAAGTACCCATCGGAGATCGATTGGGCTGCTATCTATTCTTGAAGTTTTCCAGTTCTAATCATCGTGTCATGTTCAGTTCTTGAGAGTAGTTCGTTCTTTTGTCGTTTCTTTTTCATCAAATTTCAAGAAAGCTTAGCATGTAATATGTAGGGAAGTATTAGGAAGCAGGTGTTGCTGCACTGGAGTTTTTGGCAGTTGCAGGGGCCACTGTTAAGCCTTGTCCAGTCAAAATTTAAGCTGTTAAGCTGTTAAATTGTCGTGTAAATCCGACCATGGTCAGCCGGGGTTTTAGTCGGCGACGCCATGGATCATCGTCATCGTCATCGTGCATTTCTTGTTAATTTTTGTAGTGGAAGTAATTATTATTGTATTGTCAGAATGTGTGTTGTATTGGTGAGATATCTATGTCTGAATACGTGGTCGTGGTTGTGGTTGTGGTTGTGGTGGTGATGACGATATTGGGGGTTGTGTGGCTCAGGACAAGGACAAAGTCGCATGTCATGTCCGACTCAGCCCCCCCCCCCCCCCCCGTCTCAGAGCGCAGACGTAAACTGCGCGCGCTCCTTCTGCGACTTTGCTTTAGGGAAAAAGATCAGGAACGCAGCTCGGAAATGGAAATTGCCAGATATGAAAAATTGACTAAGCACGGAAAATCTTAGATTGGTAAGGAGTTTCGATTTTTCCGGGTCTTTTAAGAATTTCTAAAACTAGTTTTATTCACCAGGGCTCTCTTACATGGGGCGACCACGAATCCTCGAGGATCCGATTTCCTCATAAAATAATGAAAGGGCAAATCTTGATCGTTCATTGAAACTTTTGACGTTTTTGTGAGGTACGACATTCTAAATGGAGATAACAATAAAACGCAGGAAAAAAGGAGGCTTGAATTTATATAATTCATGAACTATTTGTGCCTATATTCTTGAGATGTGAAATCAAAACTTTGGAGGATTTTCAAGATTTCTGTTGAAACAAAAACCTCAATCTTTCAAGATTTCCACGAGTTGCAAACATGGTCGGCGACATGAAAGATGGAGCTTTCACCATCCAAACCCTCGTGTCATTCTTTACACTTTCGAAAGGAAGTGCCCACATCGGGCGATGTTAGAAGACCTTAAATCTCAAAAGAGAGCTCACCGTCTTTTGCCCAATGCAACTTGCTGCTTGTATCATATCATATCCTTCGGAAATCGAAGCACTTGCCATCCAAGCTCATACTATTTCTATGGCTCCTATCAATCTCTGGAACTCTGCTACGATACACTGGTCGAGTCATATGCGATGCCATTCGAAATTATAGTAGTTCAACTTTGCAAAGTTTCATACCAAACACAATGCTGCCATCACACTCCGCACCGTCAGAATACCGAGTTAGTACCAGATCATGAAATTAACCAATGACATTAAAGCTTTCATCTTTTAGAGGTAAACGTACATCCATGAGGTGCTCAATTGCTTCCCGGCAATGATGACATGGGACCGAGCCGAACCCAGCAACAAGGGCTTATAACCAAGTGGGGCATTGTGCGAGTTATCGACCACGGGAGCCCCTTCCCCGGGATAAAGTCCCAGATTGAGAAGGAAATGTTTCTTCGAGACTTGACAAGTTCGTTTCACAGTTTTGACCATCCTTACTCGTCGCCACACATCTCATTTGTTTTGTGAAAATAAGTACTTATGAATTAAATCGATCCAAATGCACGAAAGAAGTTTTAAGCCGAGTCAAGTATAGTAAGTCTAAGCAGGAATTTACTGTCTCTAAAATTTAGGGAAAACACTACAAAAAATCCCAAATTATGCCACTTGTGACAAATTTACCATGAACTTTTTTTTTGTAACACGAAAAACTCTAAATTATACCATTTGTAACACATTTACCCTACAATACTTTAGCCCAATGGCGTTTTCATCTTTTCCTTTTTTTTTTCCTTCTCTCTCACCGGCAAGGGCGGCCCTCGTTGGCGTTGGGGTGGGACAAGGGCTGCCCTCGCTTGACGCCGACGAGGGTCGTCCTTGCTTGGGCGAGCGAGTGCAACTCTTGCCCGACACCAGCGAGGGTCGCCCTCGCCCGAGCAGGCGAGGGCGACCCTCGCCTTGCCCCACACCAATGCCGGCGTGAGGGTCGCCCTCATCGGCTTCCCTCCACCATGGCCTGCGGAGGGAGGAGAGAAGAAAGAAAAAAAAAATACAAAAAAAGGAAAACGCTCTTGGGTCAAAGTACTGTGAGGTAAATGTGTCACAAGTGGCATAGTTTGAGGTTTTTCATGTCACAAAAAAAAGTTCAGAATAAATTTATCACAAGTGACATAATTTGGGGTTTTTGATAATGTTTTCCCTAAAATTTATCAACAGACATTATGCAGTTGGATTTTTTTCCCTCTTTTCGAGATCTTGAAAGGGTTGCTTGATAATCTGCCAAACAGTGTCTGATTCTATTATTTTGTTCCTGGAGATAAAAGAACAGAAATCCGTTTGGTAAATTTTTTGTTCTCTGGAATAGTTTTAGAATAAAATCAAGAATAAAAAAACAGTTGCTTCTTATTTCCGGGAACAAAAAAAAGAATCAAAATAGAAACAATTTTTTTTTTCTTCTCCTTCCTTGGCCTATGGCGGGTAAGGGCATCGCAACCTAGGCGAGGGCCGCCGGCCTCTTCCAGCCCTCGCCCAGGCCATGGCCGGAGACTAGCCACAGGCCAAGGAAGGAGAAGAAGAAAAAAAGAAAAGAAAAAAAAGGAAAAAGAAAGAAATATTAAAAAATTCAAAATATTTTGTGCAGTTACCAAATGCATTTATGTTGTTTTTCTATTCTAGGAATATAAATTTTGGACAATTACCAAACGCCTTCAAATGCTCAGAAATTGTTCCCGAGAACAGAATAATTATTATTTTTTTATTTCTGAGCAGAAATTATTTCCGATAATAGAATGATTACCAAATACACCTTAAGAACCCCTGTCGTCTTGATAACAATTTCTACGGAACTATCACCTCAACAATTTGCAGCAATAGGTCAAAGATAATGTTTCTGATCATCAACTTAAAGATTATTAAGAGACCAAAATCTGAAACACTCAAAATATTGTCCGAACTATACTCGACCAAACCGATGAAAATGCTAAAAGATGAATGGAACTCTCTCATTCTAGTGTACAATTCCTTTATAACTTTCAAAGAGAAGAGTCTGAAAGAACTGCTCTATGTCAAATGCTAACAGATAATTACCCGATGGAACTGGGCAAAGAGCAGGAAACAACCGTTGGATGGTTGAGCCAGACAGCATCAGTCTATTTCATTGATCAGCACCAATCAAACATTAGATCAAAAGAAACAATCCCAAACCTACCGAAGATAACCGCTTTGGCCATCCTTGTTCTCCGCTTTCATCTCTCCAGTGGGTCACGTACCAGAAAAATCCATTCTATCGAACCATGAACAGCTGCCAAATCAGGAAGCTTCTCCTTAACTCATTTTTTAACTCAATTTGCCAATTTCCATCTTCTTCTTGATTGCCTTTTGACCATGATATATGAAAGAATCTAGGATGCCTGAAACCGTGAAAACACCTGGAAAAAAAAACCTAATATCACCAAACCATCCGAAACATCTGAAAGGAATTTCATGTAGTTTAGCTTGGAGATCGGCACTATAAATTTTAATGTCTTCAAAGTAATAGTAAGACGAGTTCAATATTAAACTGGTATAATGATGGTAAATCAGGCAACAAGACGTGTATAAGACTTAAAAACTAATGAAAAGAAAATTTGATTACTCAAAATTTAATAAGGATAAACCAGTAAGCCATTTAGCATCTTAAAAGTCATGGCAACACAAGGACATATTAAACCAGTACGATGAGCCATGCTGAACAATTGATCATTGTCTCATGACTTGCTCTTCTCAGAATTTCTTCTTCTTTTTGGGTTCAAGTGAGTCCTCAAATAAAGATGTTTAAACGACTATGGACCATTACTAAGTGAGTTTACTGGGACCCTCCTGCTTATTTAATTAACTTAATATGTAGTACTAAAAACTTAGGTGTAATCTTACAGCCAACCCATATAAAGGGCATAAAAAGAAAGTTTTCCTCCTTCACTTACTCTATCTCAAATAAAGGAGATAATTGAAAGAGGCAATTTTGTCTCGATAGGAGATTTTACATATTAAGGGTTTTTGAAGGTACCTCCAACTATAGCGCACATATTCGTTAGGAAGTGTAAGAATGACACATGTTCCTCAGTAAAGGTCACCTGCACAATGAAATTGAGTGCCAATAGAATTTCATAAATCAACTATGAACTGCTTTCGACCAAAAAAAGGAAAAACTAAGAACTGCTTGAATTTTTTGTTACCAGCATTTAGCAGTAAAACTTCATATCAACAAGTTAAGATGAAACTTAAACAAACAAGAACAGGAAGTAGCAACCTTAATTGGAGAGAGGTCATAAAAGAAGAAAACTCCTGGCAGTGTCTGAAGCTGTCCCAACTCTGCACTCCTGAAGTGCTCTGTTACCGAGAACTACAACATCAACAACAAAGATTCTGAGTGTTACACTGTGTACATAGTGCACCAATAAAACAATATGAAGTTGTTTTCATTTGTCTTAAATGTACCTGATTTGACTGGATAGTGTGCCCGCTCACATCTGTGTATACAGTCGGCACCACCTGCATAACAGATAGCACATCTTCATTTAATGCAAAGATCTAAAGATTTATAGTCTTGCCAACCACTCTAGTAGATTGCAGCTGTAGAGCACTGCCTTTGAAGAAAAAGCATGTTACAGTGAAGAAGTGAACTGGAAAAAGGATACTTTTAAGATTATTCACTATCTGTTGGAAACATTCTTCGCAGATATCATTGAACATGTCAATCAAGCAGAATAAAGTTGACTCACAACTTCGACCTAGAATTTTGAAAGGGGGAGAGACTCAAAAAACTACTCCATTTTGAAGCTACATCTAAAATATGCGCTTTCCAGCTTACTCACCAAAAGAAGGAAGAAAAAAGACAGCCGCACATGCAGATCACCAGCGAGTAGGTGGATAGTGACAGTTAATAGGCATTTTCATGGCTAAATGGTTAGACCAAGAGGGAAATCTTCTGGTCAACGCTATGCTAATTTTTTGCTTCATTGCCCAGATCATCCTTTGATCTGAACTGGCAAGAGCTTGGAAGGGAATGCAATAGAAAAGGTAATATATGGACAAATTAAGATTTATGCTACACCAACACCACTTCAATGAGATAAGGAATATAGATTCATAGAAACAGCTGAAATTATAGCAAAAAAGATGGTCCACAAAGGCAAAAGCAACTCTTGAAAAGCAGAAGAGACACTACTGAAGCAGCAAGATGACTTCAGAACTTGTACCAAAATGCTTTATGCCATAATAGAACCCTGAAAGACTATGAAGCTACATTACAAGCGGAAACTTGCAAGTTCTTCAGATGCCTCATTCCATTCATACTAATGCGTGATACACGCAGAATAATCCAAGAGTGAGTCGTCATCATCAAACAGGTAACAAGGGATATATGCAGTCCTTGGCCTCGTTTTGAGATTATAAACATGGAGAGCAATTCTCCATACCACGAGACTGACTAAAATAGATCAAGCAAGAGGTATCTTCTATCTCACGAAGACAAGTGAACATGTAACCGGGATAGGCAGTGATAGAAGTTATGGAAAAGTCCGACATACTAAACGATTGCTAGTTTATGGCATTTTCAGAAGACAGGTTGATGCACAATTTATTTCTTTTTCACTCCACTAATATCCTAGACATATTGAACTAGGACATCACAAAAAGCAAAAGCAAACGGCACATATCCAGCCCACAGGTTATAAAAGGCAACTCCGGGTCATCTCCAACTATAAAATTATCTTCTACAGTAATATCACGTCAAAGGCTAGGGTACTACATATCATGGACAAAAGGCATTCAGAATTACAAAATTGTCAAGACATCAGAGGTGCAGTACTGACCTTTATAAAATACTGATACATTCCACTCGGTGTTTCTTGCGTCCATTGCACACTGAAATGGATAAACAGGAGACAGAGCAGCATAGTATAGGTCATGCATCACGAATTAAGAAAATATAAATTTTACGAAAGTTGGCAGCATGGACAAAAAAGATGAGCTTACTTATCAAGTGGGTTTATGACACCAGGGAAATAGTCTCCGAAAGATAGCCTGTTGATCTTGTGACTAATCTGTATTGTGTTAAATAGTCTATAAGATGCTTGCAAATATAAAACCAATGTGTTCACTATAAATTTTCTAATTGAGCATGTCAACTGCTAAGGTAACTACACGTAGTAAAAATTTGGAAATAAAAGGCATCACCGCAACTTACATTAAAGCTATCCTTCTGAAATGCCAGTAAATCGTGGACATGAACATTGGATTGTTGAAAGCTTTTTCCAGGAGCAAAATGAAAATTCCCTGCAACTTTATTAACTTCCAGAAACCCATAGATGTTACATCCTTCACCATCTTCTTCTTTAATCTTTTGTAGAAAACCTTCTCTTTTGCACTGCATGCCACAGAAACACCATACAAGCAATGTTATATAAAAACATGCAATTACTACTGACATCCGTGAACCAGGAAAGAGACAATCGCTCATACTTCAGAAAAAAATCAACTGTAGAGTAAAGATAGAAAAGAAAATCATCTGAGAGGAAATTCCTGAAGTTGGACGATCCTAGCAAGACCAAAATGAAAGCAAAAGCTGACTGATTGCAACCACCAGTCTCCCAAACCATCGACACCCAGTCGACTTGTTTTTGGATATAAGTTGATAGGTTAGTAATTCTTAGAGGCTCCATTACGTAGGAGTATGGACTAGGGAGCAATTCAAATGAGCATACAGCATTTTCGCTCCTACAAATTTCTTGTCACTTCTATAAACAGAAGCGTGAAGAAGAATACACTTATTTGAAAGCGTCATCACTGAAGCCCCATTTTTTGGTGCTGGTCATTACAAACCCTTAGTACTTTGGGAATTCACTTCAATAATGGTTAAAACCATAAATGGCTTAGGGTTTACTGGTCTAATCAAACTAATGTCCATGTACCATCGTCACAAAAAATTGCTCATAAGCATGGTCGCGAGCAATAAATTCTAGGTCCATGTTTCTTCAATCTGATTTGACATGAGAAATTTGATGAGGAGCGGAATCCAAATCCTCCTTAACGTCAAAAGGGATAGAAAACATGTGTTCCAGATTTGAGCCATGGGCCTTCCCCAGTAGCACAGTCTGCTCTTTCCCATCAATGGAGTTTGTGAAACATTTTACAAACTTTGAAAGCACAGAAAAAGCAGGGCCACATCTGAATCTTAAAGCAGAAAGGGAGGAATATTGAGTTGCATGTGGTGGAGGACATGAGTTTCAACAGATTTAAAACCGAAAGCAGGACTCTCAATCCTCAGAGCAGAAAGAAAGATAATTAATTTGAATGTGGCAGACTACCAAAGACATAAACAGCCAAGGAGAAGTTGGAACCATCTTCTGATCATAGTATCACTTTGCCCATCACAAAAGGGGTACCATTGGCAAGACCATGTCAAAGAGTCATTTCACTAAAAAGGAGACATATATAACCTCAACCAGTCATCACACGGACTTACTTGATCGATCAAATCTGGATTAGAAAGTGCCCAACCTTTCTTTCGATATGCTTCGCGGACCTCTTCGCAGGAATTACAGCATTCCTCATCTGACTACAGAGTGCAACAAAAAAGAACAAAAAGAAAAAGCATTCATATATCCTAGCAAACAACAAGGAAATCTTGTCGCATACCGCAAAATGCTAACTACAGCTGACACGTAAATTCGAACCATATATCACTAGCTAAAGAGAAAACGTACTGTTTCTGCTCCAAAACATGATCCACAATATGTCTCATTGTGCTCAAGCCTCCCACCATGTCTCTGTAAGGGCTTTTCAATCTGCTCAAAAAAAGTGAGTGAGTCATATGAAAGTCACCAGGATGTACAAATACCTGTATAAGCATATTGCCAAATGAAATAGACTACAGAATGCATGCAGGGAAAAATGAAACAGACCACTGGTAAAGAGGAAGGAGAGGAGGATGGTCAAGTCATCGTGTCATCCAAAAAGAATGCTATAGGATCTTAATTTGCAGATTACTGCACGATTGAATTTGAGGTGAAATGGTAAAGAGTATTTGCGACTTTCTTAATTTGCAGATAACTGCAAAACTGAATCAGAGATTGCATACCGAGAGTATTTTAGTGGCACCAATTAAATGCAACTAGACTTTAAAATGATTATAGAGCTGATATATGTGTTGAGAAGACACTGAAGCTTGATAATAGAATGACAAAGAAAGTATGAGAGCCTATGAAAAATGTGATCCGTTTGTAACGATTAATTGACCTTCACTAAGATAACAAAAATTATCATGACAATCCTGAATTTTCTGCGACAATCACGTAAACAGGAGTAATATCCAGCCCTAGAGACGTCAAGCAAACTGACCAGAATATCTCATCTATGCCAGACTGAAGCAATATGCGCATGCAAATCCAACCATAAAATGATTCCAACAGAACACTACAACAGATATGTCATTGCAGTTGCAATTAAAATGGATGAACTTTTTAGACCAAACTCAATCATATAAAAGAGACTTGTGGGCTCAGATCAACTAACTTTTAGAAATACGACATTACTAACCTTTGGAGCACCAATTCCGTCTGGCCTTGCTTCTATCACCTGGCCATGAGAATCTAATCTTCTCTTGATTATATCGTGCTTCTGCAGGATACAGAGGCACCAGACACACTCAAGCTCATTGAAGTAATGCGAAATAATGAGATTGGAAACTCAGGCTCGCCCGTTAGAAAGACCCGAGCAAACCATAAGTAATTGCTGGATATAAATCATGAAAGGGCTCTGCAAGTAGACTCTAATACATACTACATCAAGGTGTTGTTCTCCACTGATATCCATGGCATCAACGCTGAGCATAGAGCAAGCTAATGCAGGGAACGTGACATCAAACTGCAGCACCAATCATCACAAAGGTAGTGTTATTCAGTCGGTTATCAAGCAACCACTCATTGAGTACGATGAGATAGCAACAGAGTCACTATAGATGATAAACCTTCAGAGCACAGCAATCACAGTCCTCAAACTTAACTGAAGTAACTTCTTATAATCATCGATTCTCCCAAAATCGAATAAACAATGAGCTACTAACAACAATATCAGTGCCAATGTCAGCCTAATCTCATTGAATACCGTTATAGGAGGCCCAGAAATATAGATCAAGCGAAAATTCCGTCGAAAAATCGGTGACAAACAGAGCCATGAATCACAGTACCGATTAGACTTCTCTATAGGGAAAGTGAAATGCATTACATTGATGCGTAGATGTTCCCCTCTCGATGTATCCACCACTAGCTTCGTTTCGGTTACGGCATGTAAATACAATCCTGCAAAAAAAAGAAGATAAAGAGGCTCGAAATGAAAAGGCCAACAAGTAACGCAAAAGCGCCTACACCCCCAAAGCATAGACATATATGCATCTCGATAAACTGAAGCAGCTCGACAACTCTCGATCAATACAATAGCACTGAAGTTCCCACGAGCGCGCAAGATAAAAAAAAGGTAGCATCATCGGTTCACAGCTTGTAATCTGTGTATCAATTGCTAGATCACTGAGTCGTGCATCGAGGTCAGCTGAACCTAACACCGCGAGAAGAACGTTTCAGCGATTCGAGCACAAAATCCGGAGACGGAAAATCTCCGGTTCATGAACAAGTCGATAGCAGGTGGCCAACTCTAGCGCCAGCCAACGATTCCGATCTCCGGCAACACGGAAAACATCCAGAAGCACCAAAAAAAACAAAAGCGCACAAAATCAACATCGAAACCCGAGCAATTGCCGGATTGCAAGACCGGAAACCCCTGAAGAACGCGAATCCGCGCGGCGGCGGAGGAGAGACAGGCGAGGCGAGGCGATACGTACGAAGCTCGGAGACGAAGAGGAGGGCCATGACGACGGAGGAGACGAGGGTGATGACGCCGCCGGAGAGGGTGCGGCTGTAGAAATCCTCGTTGATCTTGGGATACGCGTCCAGATTCCGGAGCTTGCTGAATATGCCGTCCATCTTCTTCCTTCTGCTACGCCCCGCCCCAGCACCCACCCCACCCCCCCCCCCCCCCCCCACCAAAAAGATGAACAAAGGAGGAAGAAGAAGGAGGAAGAAGAAGGGGAAGGGGGAAATCCTCCGGGCTCCGATGGTGGATTTTCTCTCTCGCTTTTCCCGTCGATCCCCCTGATCTCTCCGCGCGCGCAGGGGCGAGAAGCTATCGCAATCGGAAGACGGATGCGATCTCCAAAACGAAACGCCCCGTTGAATTGCGGTTGATCCAGTAAATTCCGTAACGAGGCGATTCGATGAAGAAATTGAATGACGGACCCCTCTCTCTCTCTCCTTGTTGTCTTTATTTTTTTATTTTCTTTTGGGTTTTGTTTTGTTTTGTTTTTTTACTTAGAAAAGGACACAAATCATCCCGAAACTTCGATTCGATGTATAGTGTGTTCTTTGAATTTTTAATTTGTTCAACGTGATCCTTGAAATTTTGATACATGTTAAATTTAGTCCATGAACTATGTCATTCTGTTAATTTAAGTTCAGGAACAAAAACAGTATTAAACATTTTTATATAATTCACGGACTAAATTGTACCAAAAGTTCAAAGATCATATTGAACAAATTTAAAGTTCATGAATCACATTTTATATTGGCCAAAAGTTCGGGAATCGCCTTGAATAAATTAAAATTTCAGGACCATCTTTGTGTCACCGTCCCTTTTCGTTTTGGCAATTTTCAGTTGACATTTGACCCTTTTCTTCGCGCTGGTTACGGAGAAAGTTCTATTTACATGGGACCCGATTATGGTCCGAAAGCCCACCCAAGGCCCATGACCCGACTTCTTCTCGGGTCTTTATTGCCCGCGCGGGACCATGCTTGTGTCACGGGCTCCCAACTTGCTTCACTCTCCGGAAGACCCTTCCATCGGATTAAGTATTCTCGCTTCGGCACACGATATCTCTTCCGTATGACTCGATCCGTCATGATGAAATCGACGTCTCGATCATAGGAGGTCTTTGCTCCAAGCGGTGCCCGTTGCGACTCCCCTCGATCCGGGTCCTCTTCGTCTACACGGAAAGGTTTAAGCATACTAACATGGAATACCGGATGTACCTTAAGCTTTGGTGGAAGTTCCAGTTTGTATGCGACCTTCCCGACTCGATGCAACACTCGGAATGGCCCCTCGTAGCGACGTATAAGCCCTTTATGCACGTCCTTGTATCGGAGCACAAGGTGTAGCTTGGCCAACACCAAGTCCCCGACTTGGAATTCCACGTGCCGTCGCTTCTTGTTGGCCCACTTCTTCATGCGCTTTGAGGCCTTGTGTAGACACGTTCGCGCCAAGTCCGCCTGCTCATGCCACTCCTTGGCGAACTTGAAAGCGGATGGGCTACTCCCCTTATAGCCCGTTGCAACCGTACTCGGAGTGAGTGGTTGTTGTCCCGTCGCGATCTCGAACGGACTTTGGTTCGTGGACTCACTCTTTTGAAGATTGTAGGAGAATTGGGCTACATCGATCAACTTTGCCCAATTCACTTGGGTCGTACTCACATAGTGTCGGAGGTACAACTCCAAGAGTGCATTGACTCGCTCCGTTTGTCCGTCGGTTTGAGGATGCAAGCTCGTGGAGAAGTTGAGATCCGACCCTAATAATTTAAAGAGTTCAGTCCAGAACCTACCCGTGAATCGAGGGTCGCGATCGCTCACGATCGTTTGTGGCACTCCCCAATATTTGACGACGTGCTTCAAGAATAGCTTGGCCGCCTCCTCGGCAGGACAATCTTTCGATGCGGGCACGAACGTCGCGTACTTGGAAAATCGATCCACCACGACCATAAGAGTCCGACACCCTTCGGACTTTGGCAAGTTGACAATGAAGTCCATGGAGACACTCTCCCATGGACGCTCCGGGATGGGAAGTGGCTCCAAAAGCCCCGCCGACGACCTTTGTTCAAGCTTGTCTTGTTGGCATACAAGACATGTCCGTACATATGCCTCAACGTCGTCGCGCAAGTGAGGCCAAAAGTATCGATCCTCCACAAGCGCCATAGTGCGGTGGATCCCCGGATGACCTGCCCACTTGGAATCATGGCACTCTCGTAGGATTTCCTTCCTTAGCTTCCCATGGAGAGGCACGTACAACCGTCGTCCCTTGGTGTAAAGCAAGTCACCTTCACACCAAAATTGCCGGGTCTTGCCTTCCCGAGCATGGTCGAGGATTGCCTTGGCGGTTGGATCATGTTTGAGCCCTTCCTTGATCCGCTCGTTCCACGGATTCTCGGGACGAGTTAGGGTCGATGCCAACCCCGCCTTTCGACTAAGAGCGTCGGCCACGGAGTTCGCCTTCCCAGGCTTGTACTCGAGCGCATAATCGAACTCCGCCAGGAAATCTTGCCAACGAGCTTGCTTCGGGCTTAACTTCTTTTGGGTTTGGAAGTAGCTCGTGGCCACGTTGTCCGTCCTCACGACGAACCGGGATCCCAAGAGATAATGCCTCCATGTACGAAGGCAATGCACCACCGCGGTCATCTCCTTCTCTTGGACCGTGTATCGTCGTTCGGTATCGTTCAACTTTCTCGACTCAAATGCTACCGGGTGTCCATCCTGCATAAGAACACCACCAATAGCAAAATCGGAAGCATCGGTCTCTACCTCGTAAGGTTTGGCGTGATCGGGTAGCACGAGCACCGGTTCCTCGGTCATGGTTTGCTTCAACCGATCAAACGCCCTTTGGCATCGGGCCGTCCACTCCCACGGTTTCTCCTTCTTCAACATATCCGTGAGTGGCACGGTAATGCTCGAATATCCTCGGATGAACCGTCGATAATAGTTGGTAAGGCCGAGGAATGACCTTAGATCCGTCACCTTGGTCGGCGGCTCCCATTCTACCATGGCCTTAATCTTGGCCACGTCCATCTGCACACGTCCACCCCCGACGATGTGTCCCAGGAATGGAACTTCTCGTTGCGCAAAGGCACATTTCTCCCGCTTGACATATAAGTCATTCTCCCGTAGAACTCGGAAGACTCGTTTGAGATGCTCGATGTGTTCCTCGAGCGTCCGGCTATACACCACGATATCATCAAGATAAACCACTACAAATTGATCGAGGAACGGGTGGAGTACCTTGTTCATGAGTGTGCAAAATGTGGCCGGAGCATTTGTCAAGCCGAATGGCATGACGAGGAACTCGTATGACCCATACCGCGTTACACAAGCGGTCTTTGGCTCGTCCCCTTTTGCAATCCGCACTTGATAGTATCCTGATCGAAGATCAAGCTTGGTGAACCATCGTGCTCCTCCAAGTTGATCGAACAAGTCGGCAATGAGAGGGATCGGGTACTTGTTTTTGATCGTCAGCTTGTTTAATGCCCGATAGTCGATGCACATCCGGAGTGATCCATCGTGCTTCTTTTGGAATAGAACCGGGGCACCAAACGGAGCCTTCGACGGTCGGATATACCCCGCATCGAGCAACTCCTTGAGTTGTCTTCTTAATTCCTCCAACTCGGGAGGCGCCATGCGGTAGGGTGCCATGGCGGGCGGTCGAGCGTCGGGCACGAGCTCGATTTTATGGTCCACCTTCCTTTGAGGTGGAAGCTTCTTCGGGAGCTCGGGGGACATCACGTCCTTGAAAGCGTCGAGGACTCGGGTTACTTCCGTCGGGACATCACTCCCTTCACCCTTCGGATCCTCAACCTTCAAAGTTGCCAAGAAAGTAGCTTCCCCTTTTCTTGCTCCCTTAGTAACTTGCATTGCCGATATTATCTTTTGGTCACGACCCGACTCTCGGTTGACCGGGATCACACATTGACAACGTGCGTCCAAGATACAAATACAATCGGCAAATGGGACAATAAGAGCATCTATTCTATCAAGGAATCCCAAGCCAATGACAAAGTCATAATCGTCAAGTGGAATTACCTCGATCGTCTCTTTGCTTTTCCATTGTTCGAGTTGGAACTCCACATCCTTAGCCAACCCGTTGGTAGGGATTTCCTTGGAGTTCACCGTCTTAAGCCAACCGGCCCCTTTCTCAACCCGAAGATTGAGTTTCTTCGCGGCTTCTTCCGAGATAAATAGATCGGATGCCCCCGTATCGACGAGTGCACTCACCGTGGTTCCTCCGATCGTCACGTCCGCGAACATCAAGCCCTTAGGCTTATTTGCCTTCTTGGACTTTATGGAACTTAGGATTCGCAACGAACCGAGTCGCGTCCCCTCTCGTTCCTCATCGTGTGCCTTGACAAGCGCCGCTAGCTTGCCTCGAGTTGGGCAATCACGAGCCATGTGCGCACCATCGCACAAGAAACACTTGAAGATACGTCCCTTCTTGTGTTCTCCTCCGCTCGACTCCGGCCTCGCCTTTGGAGGGGCCATTGGTAGTTTGCTTCCACCTGGGCGGTGGAATTTGTTACGATCTCCCCCACCAACGCCCTTGTCCCTCGGTCGGGTGTCCGGCTTGCTTACGGGAGTTGATTTGTATTCCACCAAGGCCTCGGCCACGGACATGGCCGTTGAAAGGTCTTTCGCGTTGCACCGCTTTAACTCTTGCTTAACCCATGGTTTCAAGCCACCCATGAATTGGTGGTAGGCCTCCGTATCATTCATGGACGGAATTTGGAGTAGCAACTCCGAGAACTTTCGGACATAATCACGGACACCTCCTTTTTGCTCAAGGCGACGGAGTTCATCTCGAGCTTCTTCCTCCGCATAAGCGGGATAGTATTGTCGTCGGAATTCCTCGACGAACAATTCCCATGTAGTGATCGGTTCACCACTCCGATCGTCACTCCTACGACGCCACCATAAGAGTGCATTATCAGACAAGTACATAGCCGCGGTACTTACCCGAATCGCCCCGTCGGTGATCCCCATTGCTAGGAAGTACTGCTCCATGTACCATAGGAAGTTGTCCACGTCCTTGGCCACCCGTGAGCCTTTGAACTCCTTTGGCTTTGGGGCGTCCACTCGTGGACTGGCTTGCACGGTGATCACCCCGTTCACGCGTGCTCCTTCCATTTCGGCGACTTTCGCCTTAAGTTCGGCCATCTC